AACCGGGTTCCAGTCGAGAAGTGAATGCTCGACCTTGACACTAAACTCAGTCCCAACTCCAGCCACACCACGAGCTTCGGATGCCAAATCGCCTGACACACGGAGAGTGAAGCGTGAGGATGAGGTTACATCTGGAGAACGCAAGGAGATGGTTGAAGTCGAGTCTTGTATGCGTGTTTCGGAGACTCAGCATACATATAAATGGAAAGATTCAAGGGTATTAGGTACGGTAGCTTGTTGACCGATCTGGTAGAGTGTAAAGAGGAGATTTTGGTTTCAAAAACCTGCAGATTTCTGGTTGATTGATCTAACTAGTTGAACGCTGAGTAATATCCTATGGGTGGTGCAAACAGGATGCATCTCCTAAGGTTTTGGTGTGAGTAGAAGGTAGTGGGCATTTGAGTAAGATTGTTTTCCGAATGGGTACCTAAGACTTTGGGGCACAGCATACGCCGCGGTTGCCCACACAGAAGGGGTTTTTCTTTGGGAACCCTCACCGGAGCCTTCTACTCAAAAGCCTGACCCACAAGGCAGTGGGGCGTAGATTCAACGCGGGGGCGTGAACAAAGCACCCGTGGGGGAGCTTCTGGAGACCTGTCACACAAGGCCTTTGAATTTCGGTTCAGTGTTTTGTGCGCTGGTGCGTTGGTTGACGGTCCGCTTTTTGGGATCGGCCCTTAGCTTCATGCACCCAATGAGACAAGCGAAACGTGGACGGGACAACAGCTTATTGGCTGGGGGCTGCACAGCTTTGGTGGGCGGTAGATGTTCAGTGAAGGGCGAAGACTTCTCCCACCGTCAGAAGGAAGCCCCAGGTACCTCGCTCCTACGTCCATCTGGCGGTTTTTTTTACTGGGAAACTGTCCCTTCTCATGTTTTTGCCTGGGTGACTGTGTTGATCCAGACATACGTGACAGCATTCCAGGCCCTACCAGGTACAGCTTCATATCATCAAATCAAAGTTCAGGAATTTCGGTCAAGGGTACACCGGGCGAACATTACGTCCGAGTTAGTACATGTGATGTGTCTACGCAAACTGTTGTGTGATTGAACGACGGTCCTTCAGCCAATGAAATGGCCTATTACTTTCTATAAAACATGCTCTAATTCTATCAATAAACCGAAGCATTTGCTGCTACCAATTCCGCGTGTATTTCATTGGTGTTCGCAGTTCGGGTTGGAGTCAAACCAGATATGAGCATTACAGTACGAGTGCTCGTATTCCGATATTCAATACTATTCTGATTGCAACAAGTGACCTCTTCAGGGGGCTGGAGTGGATAGCCAAGCGAAGCCAGGAAGTGCCCAAGCAGGTGGCCTTGTGAAACTGATCTTCGTCTAGCCTCTCCTGACTCCGGCTGA